TCACGAACAGATCTGTGAGTTCTCTCCCACGCTCTGCCCTCTCTCTCCTAAAAACAGCCACGGTGCACGATCGCACTTGGCGAGAAGAAAGGAGGAGAGGTAGCAGTTAGAAAAAAGCGAAGGAACGGGACAAAAACCCACTCCCTTCCCCTATTTAAGGAGGCGAAGCAGCAGTTGGAGAAAGGCGAAGGAGTGGGCCAAAAACCCCTCTCCCTTCCCGATTTAATGCGGACGGGCATGCGAAGGGTCGCGTCCTGACTGATGGGACTCGCCCTGCCCAAACACGGATAGGCACGCGGTGGGAAGCGTCCTAACTGATGGCACGCGCCCTGCCCGACGAGACGGCGCCTGGTTAAACAGGACATGGCCTGGGCATGGCCCACCACTACCGCACGCCAGGTGCAGAAAACAAGGCGCAACCGCACGCAGGCGGCCCTCCGCCTTCCCAGGCAGGACTTGGAAGGGCCCAACAACAGGATCTCCACCAAGGAGAGACCAACGGGCTTCCTGAGTCGATCGGACGGCTCAGACGAATGCCGAGAGACAGGTAAGGAGCAGAGGGATGCCCCATGCAGGCTATGCCGTCTCCGTCATGAACGATGGACACGGGTCCCGATCGGACATAATCGATAGGAGCTCCACGAATCCGTCACTCGAGTCATCAAGGTAACTTTACCCAACCTTCTTATTTTATTTTATTTTCTAATGCATGATCATTCATTCATCTTTTCATACACACATTCACACATTCATCCATACAATCATTCAGTCATCCCATACATCCAAAGCATTGCATATGCAATTGATGCATCACAACGCTTCGTGTTGCGTCACAAAGCGGTAATCGTCTCATTCGACATGAGCGACGACCGACTGGGGTTCGAAGGCCGGCCCACGAAGGGCTCGAGGCCGCCTCGCGTCAAACAGAGCCAGGGAAGAAAAACACAGATGAGCCCCAGCGGCCCTCGCCCGGCCTGCTCAGAAGCAGACATGGTCATCTCGACCTTCTCGTTCGATCTTAACCTCGAGCCATGCTCACAGAATCTCCATCGAGGGGAGGCCAGCGGGCCACCTGAGTCGGTCTCCGAAGCGGCTCAGGCATCTGCCGGGAGGCGGGTTAAGAAGCAGTGGAATGCCACATGAGGGCTATGCCGACCCCGTTACGAACAACGGACCCAGATTTCACTCGGACATATCCTTTAGAGAGCTCACCGAGCGCGTCACTCGAGCCATCGAGGCAAGCGATGTTAGCTCAGCCCCTCCGGTTGCGAAAACCACGGATGGGGTAACGCACGCAACAAGACCAAGCCCTCGGCCACGACCAACACCTAGGTCCGCGACTCCGACTCGCCCAACCTCTCGGCACGCCCGACGCCTTGGTTGGCGACTCTGACTCGCCCAATCCCTCGGCCGACTCCGCGACTCCGACTCGCCCGATCCCTCGGCCACACCCAAACGCCTAGGGTCGCGCTCCTGGAAACGATGGCTCAGAAACTAGAAAGGGGAGGCTACGCCCACCAAGGTACACTCGCACACGCCAGCTGGAAAAATCCCCTAGACGATTCTACGTAAATCGCCCAGGGGCTCAGAGGCTACACCCACCGGGTGCGCTCGCGCGCACCCGCTGGCAAGTCGAAAAAACCCCCAGGCGATTCTACCTAAATTGCCCGGGGGCTCGAGGGCTACACCCACCGGGTGCGCTCGCGCGCACCCGCTGGCAAAACAAAAAAAGCCCCCAGACGATTCTACCCGAATCGCCTAGGAGCTCGGGGGCTACACCCACCGAGTGCGCTCAAGCGCACCCGCTGCCAAAACGAAAAAAGCCCCCAGGCGATTCTACCCGAATCACCCGAGGGCTCAGGGGCACCTGTCGGGTTCATAAACTTGGGGTCCCTAATGGGCCTGCTTCCCAGCAAAAGCTCGGCCCAACAGACGACGTTGCGAACGACGCGCAACTTCTGAGCCGGCCCAGATACCTAAACGACAGGCCAAAAGAGCGATCCAGTCTCCGACCGGAAGGCCTAGACAAAGAGGGGACAACACTTGCTTCCGACTCCGACCCGCATCTCCGACCGAAAGACCGGGCCAAGGAGGGAGCGACCCTCGCTTCCGACTTCGACACGCGTCTCCGATCGAAAGGCCTAGCTAAGGAGGGGGCGACCCTCGTTTCCGACTCCGGCCCGCTTCTCCGATCAGGAATACACCGAACCTCTGCTTATAGCTCTTCTCCGACTGGTGCAGTCGAAGCCGACTGGGAATGACCGACCGAGGGTGCCCGCTTGGTGAGGACCCAGGAAATGGGCGAAGCAGGTAAGGCAGGGCGCTCAAGTCAACCGTAATACCAAGGACCGTACCCTGCACACCTACAGGACAGTACTGTCAGGTCATGTCAGAAGGGTACTTTATAATCTTACATGTCAGAACACGAACAGTGTTGTGGGCGCCGACATTTTGTCCTACAGTATGGTAGACGCCAACATCTACCGTACCAGAAGAACATGATGAAGCCTACCACATGCATCTGGACATCAACAGTATTGTGGGAGTCGACAAACCAACTTGTACCCGACGGCGTGGGCAAGATAGCTCACACACTCTCACTTGTAAGGCCGTCCCCTTCATCTATAAAAGGGGATGCGCCCTCTCCCAACAGAGAAGGACAGAGGAGAACGATTCGACACACACACGATTGATTCCAACTCTCTCTGCTAGGCTTAACGCACGTTGGAGCTCCCGTCACTCTTGGCCCCTCGGTCCAGAGCCCGACCGGACCTCTTGCACCCCCATCTTATTCCCTCTCGTTTATAACCCCACAGCAAACTTTGAGCACCTAGGCTCAGGAATAAGTCACTAACTGACTGAAATTGGACGTATGGCACATTGCCTGAACCAGTATAAACCCTATGTCATTGAGTACTAGGCCACATCCGATCACAACGCACGGCAAAGTACAAATATTTACTTGTTGGTCACTTTTCGCACCGACATCCTCCATTCTTCACCTTTCACTCATAGGACTTGTGGTTATGTTGGTCATCAAACACCAAAATCCAAAGTAAATGGACTTAGGGTCTATTTTCCTTACACGCAGTACTCATATACTCCTGGGTCGTAGGAGTTCTTTAGGATGATATGATGCACTTGTACTTGGACACCCATATACTGATGGAACATGTAGTATGTCGAGTAATGTCGAACTTATGTATTGATAAACTTGTGCCGTAATTATGACTTGCTGAACTTATGTCGAACAGAGGTATTGTCGAACTTGCGATGAACTTGGGACGTGTACAAGTTAGTATTGCTGAACTTATGTACTAATTGTCTCGTGCACTTAACCTTTCTGCTAACCTATTCGTTAAACCGACATGACAAAATAACTTGGCTCATGTGAGAACATAACAGAAGTGCCTTGTTCTATTTGCTGCCGCTTTTACCGCCGCGCCATGGCTGGGGCGCGTCAGCCTTGCCGCGCCATGATGCACGACGCGTCGGCCCCGCCACATCAGCGACCAGCGGGCCGGGACGTTGCTACGTTGGCACCGCTGCCGCGCCCCCATGCATAACGCGACAGCTTGAATTGGCCGCGCCATGCGGATAGGCGCGGCCAAAAGTGTTAGATTTGAAAAAAAAACAATGTCAAATTTTAAAATAGTTTTAAAAAAATGTTAAAAATAAAAAAAATCGTGTTGGGCGCGCAGACCATCGGACGCCGGGCGCAAGAGCAGGGAGGGCGCTGGTCGCCGAGCGCGAGAGCAAGGAGGGCGCAGCTGAGCGCTGGGATAATTCGTATAAACTTGGATAAAGACATTTTCGCATAAACTCCCTCCAACTATTTAAGTCTCTTGGAGATGCTAAAGATTTTTATAAAAAGTTGCATCGAAAAATAATTCGTAACATTTTCGTATAAATAAAGACATAATTCATATAAAAATTATAGCTCTCAACATGATCTACAACTTTATAATTGAGAAATTATTTATTTTAAACTATTTAGTCTCAAAATATTATTTTAAGTTTATATATTTTAAAATTAATTAAAATTTTAAAATTTTAAACAACTTTGGAAGTTAACATGGTATATACCAGAGTTATATTCTGAATACAATCTAGAACTTTGTCTTTGAAAAGTTGTCGTTTACAGGCCCAAAATTTTAAGCTCATAGATTTTGGATGAAGATAGTACTACTTTCGTCCTAAAATACAAGGCATCCAATCAACTTTAGAATCAAATAAGGAGTTTGGCAATTGCCTGTCACTAATTAAATAGGTTTGGTTGTCAATTTCTTATTTTTTGTTGCCAACTTCTTAATTTTCTAGTAGTGTATAGTTTGAGAAGGCATGCATGCATGTCAATAATTTCGGCTACCAATTATAGGAGTTATTTTGGGCAAGATGATGTTTAAAAAGCATGCATGGATCCAAAATACCTTACAATTTGGGACAAATTTCGAATCTTTGATATTTTACCTTGAATTTTAAACGGATGGAGTAATATATAAATAAAGGAGAGGTCTACAAAAGGGTGACCAAGTCAAGAGACAAAAATGAAAATAGAGAAAATCAAAAGATTTATAGTTGGGCCTCTAGCCATTATTCAAAATGATTTTTTTAGGTTTAACTCTCCCAATAATTTTGGCCTTTAATCCTCTAACCTTTAATCATGGCTTCATATTCGACTAGAGTTGCCAATTCATTTGGCCTTCAATCCTCTAACCTTTAATCATGGCTTCATAACCTTAGAAAAGCATGCATGGATCCAGAAAGGAAACTTGGCTTACTCTTTCTGTAGTGTGTCGTGCTTATTCACCCTAGGTACACAAATAACACCAGTGCACCGAGACATAGCAGTTCCTGACCTGCACAAAAATCTTCTTCCCACGTGTCATATATCCTATGGTCCACCATATGTTTAGTGAAACAAATAATTGAGTCCCACCATCTGGAATCGTACACCGTTCGTCCACCAGGTGCAATAGAATCCGGAAGCAGATGGTGTATCAGTCTTCAATCTTCCACTTATGTGTATGTCTGAACTTAAGTTTGGGAGACTTGGTATGGGCGCTTACCGCGCTCTCGATATCACAAGTTGCGTCTATCACCTGATTTAGTATTGTGTCCATGCCCTGCCTGAAAGATATATTAGCCATCCGGGTCATAGTGGTCCTGACAACGACTGAATCACTATTTAGATAGAATATACATTCGACTTGGTCAAGATTGGAGAGGTGTTGGATGCCGAAATGGAAAACCCCTGTACCCATTAACAGGCCCATCCTTTCTGGACTGAACATGATAGTAAACTTTTCAAGCATTGGCATGGCTCCAGCTCCAAACATCACTGGCATGGCACATCCAAAGTCAAAATGCCTCAGGGAGTGGAACCTGTCGCCACCGCTGATGGTGAACCTTCTTCCATGGAAAGATTCATGAGCTATCAGACGAAGAAACACAAGAGCTGGTAGGCACCCAAGTGCCATGACATCTTCCACCTCAAATTCCATGACATAAATAACTAAAATTTGAAGATTGGCAAGGGATCCTGCCAAATTTGGAACCTTGGAGATAAAACCCTCCTTAATTTCCAATTTCTGGAGGCCACGTGGAGCACAACTTTCTGAACCCAGAGAGAAGCCACCAGCGACATGGAATGACAGAGATTGAAGCTTGCCTAGTTTAGAGAGAGAGAAGACTATATTGTCCATGTACTCCTTGGAGTTGCTTCCCACCATATCAAATTTCTTGCGATCATTAGGATTCGAAAAGAAGCTTATGCTCCTAAGCAATGTCAGATGGCCAAGTTCTTGGGCAAAGTCAATTGGTTGCTTGAAGACATCAACACCTTCTAACTGCTCCAATGCTGTCATGCTTCTGATACCAGATGGTAGCACAACTCCTCTGTCTACAACCAAATGTGCCAATCTTTTAAGTTCAACAATACTTGCTGGCAATTTTCTGGATTTCCCCATAGATATGTCTAGTGTCTCAAGATGCTGTAATTTTCTGATTTGTTCGGGTAGTTCACAAACGTTTGTATTACGGAGACTCAGGTACTTCAACCGAAATAAATTCCCAATGTTAGCAAGATGATGACTTTCCACTTGGGTGCAGCCACCCAAGTCCAAAACACGCAATGAACTGAAGCTCAGGAACAATAGTAGCGCTTCTGCAGCATAGCTAAACATTGTAACTGACCGGAGATGGGATAAATCCAGATCTTTCAGCTGAGACACATTCTCTACACTGTTAGAATGGAGGGATAGGCGACGGACCTTTCTCTGTGGACCAGGCATTTGATAACCATCAGAGAATATAGTAACAAAATTCTCTTCTTCAGATTTGGATATGATAAAATCCAGAATTGTATCATGGACTTGACAAACTGTTACCTCACCGTACATGTTTATGTGTTGTGCCTGGATCAAGCTTCTATTGATGAGCTCATTGAAACACCTTTCCCCTAATTCATATAGAGTACATCCTTGTTCTTCTTGAATAAATCCCTCAGCAATCCATCTCCTTATCAAACACCTCTTGTCAATTACAAAATCCTCTCGAAATGTACTTAAATACAATAGACACGTCTTTAAATGATGAGGAAGGTCAAAGTAACTAAGTGATAATATCTGAACCATGCTTTGAACCTCTGGATTTTTTCCTAGTTCATGCCCAAAAGAATTCTGCACCCTGTTCCATTGATCTTCGGTCTGTGGTTTATTGGCAAGCAAACCAGATATGGAAATGATAGCCAAAGGTAAACCATCACATTTTTCCAATATCTTATTAGAAACCTCTTTGAGATGTAAAGGGCACATGTATTGGGAGCTAAATATTCTTTTGTGGAACAACTTTTCCGAATCTGCACGAGTAAGTGGCCTCATTTTGTAAACAAGAGAACCATAGGATGAGCAGCATGCTTTAGCTACACCATGTATACGAGTTGTTGTGATTATTATGCTTGGATCTTTATCCTGGATTATTATGCTTTTTTCTCTCTCTGGAAACAGTGCAAACCTGATGATATCCCATGTTTCTATCTTCCATATATCATCAACTACAATAAGATACCTGCAATATCGTTTTAACAATACTTTTTAATATAAGGATTAAATAACCTATTCTGTATTATAAAAATAATTAGTATTGTAGAAGAACTATTGGTCCACAAAATAATGAACAAAGATCCCACATTCCCTCATCATAACAAAAACGAGAACAATAGAAGACATAAAACTTATACAACTAAAGGTTCATGCAGTGGGAATTTAAACGGCCACAGAAACTACACAAATACAGATAACCTAGCTCGGGAACAAAAAAGTGTTAGTATTTTTAAAAAAGGTTCACAAAAGATTGAATTTCTTTAATTTTACTTGGCTCAGGTTCAACACCATTAGGAGGATCACGGCAAGTGCCAAGCCTAGTAGGAGCATGTTTCTTTTACTAAATTATTCACTGAGAAGTAGAGGCCACAGCTGCAATGGATTGTAAAAATGGAACTATATTGGTAGGGGATCAAACAATGTATCAACACCCTTGTAACAAAAGCTAATACATTAGTTTATCAAAGGAAAGAAAACATATAAGTTTGTTTCCTCTACCTTTTATCCTTGAGGAAATCAGTGATTGTGCCAATGATTTGTTGGATACTCCCTGCTTCAGTGGATGCATAAGGTTTATTGCTTACATCGCTGAGAATTGTTCTCAAAATTTTCATCATGTCCGGGTTTCGTGACACCGACACAAAAGCCCAGCAATCGAAGTCAAACTGGTTCTTTAACTCTACATATACTTGGTTTGCAAGTGTTGTCTTTCCCATTCCTCCAAATCCAATAATAGATACCACCTTCGGTGGCTCCACCTCAAGTGGTTCTGATGCAACACCTTGATACTTCCTTGCCAGCCATTTCATTAGCTCAGCTTTTGGTTCATCGATGCCAACAAGCTTTGAAGCATCCTCAAAGATAGCAAGAGCTCTATGGTCCATGGTCGCATTACTTGTATTCATGATAGTCTCATTACTCTTGTATCTTTTATTCCTGTCTTCCACCTCCTTGACTTGGACCTTGAGGTCTTCGACTACCTTTGCAATCCGGCGGCGATTCCTGACCTTGATCAAAAAAGTTTTGAATTTGTCGATGAAGCCCTCAGGACTAATAGATTTGTCATCAACATGGAGCATGAACTCGTCAAGGCTATCCTCCATATCGTAGGAGAGCTCCCGAACCTCCTTCATCCAGTTCTTATCCTGTGGATCGGGATTCTCCTCTTCTGACATCTTGAGAAGGAATGAATGCATTGCAGCAAGCTCATCCATGAGAGACTGCACCTCGCGGCGCACCCGCTTGAAGCGCTTGTACTCATCACCCATCAGGGCCGTAAGCTTCTCTAGCACGGGCTTCAATGCCCCAGTCGCTGCGCTCACCAGTAGCCCCTCCATATGGATATGGTGCGTTTGTATCTCAGAGCTCACACTGAATTTGGTGCGACCAAGTGGAGATGTCGCAGCTGTTTGGATTGGAATTGGATGGAAGCCCACCTCTACCAGCGCTTGTAAATCCGATGTGCTATCCCTTAGCCCTTAGCCTCTACTCCTACTTCAGCCTGCAAGAGCATTATAGCAAGAATATATAGCACAAGATCAAACCAGCTGACGGGATCCGGTGGTGAGGATGAAGAATCCAACTGCAGTGCCAGTGCCAGGACGTGGAACGTGGATTGCAGATCTGCGGGGGTGGAGAAAAGCGGGCCTTGTGGGTTGAGCGGAGCTTGAATTGGTGATGGTCGCACAACCTCGGCGAGCCAAAGGAGGAGGAACTGGAAGAGGCCGCGCCGGCAGCGGCCTGTGATTTAGCCACCCAAATCTCGCCCGCGCGTCGGAGGGGAGGGCGGCACGTCGGCTCCTCAAGGCTGCAGCTGAACAGTCGAGGCCACGGTCAACGGGAATGGCGTGGTTAGCGGTGAGGAACTTTTTTTTTTAGAATCGCCAATCGGATTAGTACATGACATCTTACATATATCAAGTTTTCAAGATATCTATCATTACTATTTTTTTTAACATGAAAGCGGCGGCTGCTCTGCCTCTGCATTCAGTAGAAGCTGGAAAATTACAACAATTTGTTTATGGAAAAAGTCAAAATTACTCCTCAAAAGTTTGGCATATGTTCATATTACCCTCTTAACTTATATTCGTTTCAATTTACTCCCTCCAACTATTTTCAGTTGGTCTAGTTTACCACCTTAATATGATTTGTTATTTTTGTTTTTCCACGTATTAGTTGAGTCTTAATATCAACTTTTGTGATATGATAGAGAACTTTATAAGTTATGTTAGAAAAATATATCTTAATTTTTTTGCCATTGATCGTAGGGAGGTTTTCAAAATAAAACTCAGAGTTTTTTCTTGTATGATACTCTCAAATCTCTTAATATATGTAGTATTTGTGGATCCTTACCAAGGCAATAGCAATATCATGCCTTTCCTTTTCTATATCTAAACCTTACGTGGAGTTCATAGGTAGGGATAAAACATACAAGAGCATACTTGTAATACATATATTATAAAGTCAAACAATAAATCCAAAGAGAGTTAAGTCATACAACCAAATCAGGATGTGCATGTGTGTGGATGAATGGTGGATGCATGTGGTGGCTAACCAAATTCTACTACGCTCTTTGAAGACATATCTCTCATTTGAAACTTGAAAATAATTACTAGAGGGTAGGGGCTATCTTATTCATCTCTTTATTCTTCTTTTTTCAGGCAGACATCTAAGTACCCATTGTTTTGATAACTCGGACACTTGTCCATTTTTTTCAATTCTCTCATTTTTTTTATGAATAACTTTTGCATAGCTCTATGTCTTTTTTCTACAACAGAACTTTTGAGAGATAATAACAAGAACTTGGAGCATTTATTTGATGAAAATCCTATAGGATATTCTTGGTGTTTACTCCCAGTGTAGGAGTCAAACATTTTTTGGTGGAACTAGTTAGAATATGGTTGCGCCTATCCCCAGTATAGGAATAGTGCATATATGGGTGGTGTGTACATGATCTTAATTTTAAGAGTATGATGAACCTTTTATAAGGCATCAACAAAGTTTGACTAAACTCAATGCAAAACAAGCAGCGTATATGAAATAAATGGTTTTCTAATCTAAATATCATACATGGCTCTGATAAGAATTCAAGCATCATCCTAAATACAAATACTTATGGACTACTTTTCTATCTATATTGTAGGATGTCCTTGAGTTACACAAATCATGTTAAGGGTAAACTAGATCAACTGAAATAGTTGGAGGGAGTAAGTTGGACCAAATATAAATTTAGAGAGGAATCTGGACATATGCTAAACTTGAGTGGAGTAATTTAAACTTTTTCCTGAATACAAATACCTATGGACTACTCTCCTATATGTATACTGTGGGATGTCCTTGAGTTACACAGAGAGCATACACTACGGAAGGCTTACAAACTTACAGTAGCGCCCAAAAATAAAAAATAAAAAAACTTACGATAGCACCGGACCTCAGTCCGCTCTTGAGGCCACTTGACGAGTCACGGCTCCTCTATTCTCTCAGATCCACCACACCGCCTAGCTGTTCAGGCCCGCCGTGCGCTGGCCATGGCGACGGGTCGCGGCGACGCTACGAGCATGGTGGCGGTGGGTCTGGTGTGGGGCTCCACGAACGCGCTCATGCGGCGGGGCGCGCTCGTCTGGGACCGCCGCGCCCGTGCCTCCTACCCCTCCGGCAACGTCTTCCGCCGGTGGGCGGCCTTGCTCCTGACGTGGCAGTACTCGGCGCCGTTCGCCGCCAACCTGTGCGCGTCCGCAGCCTTCTTCGCGCTCCTCGGCGCCGCGCCCATCTCCGTGGCCGTCCCCGTCACCAACGCCGTCACCTTCGCCGCCACGGCCGCCGCCGCCGCGGCCCTCGGCGAGCGCGTCCGGCCGGCGCCCGCAGTCCTCGGCACCGCGCTCATCGTCCTTGGCGTCTGGGTCTGCATCTCTTAGGCTGAAAGCCTGCTTGAGGTGAAAAATCACAGCCAGTAGTTGCTGCTTTAGTTTGTTCTAGTTCTGATGACATACATTACAGTCCGTTGGAGAGAAAAAAAGAGAGGTTCTGACATTACATTCCAGGGAAATTCTCAGATTTCGTTTCACCCCTGTATGTTGCCATATGAATGAATTATGACCAGATTGTTGGTAGCAGCAGGCAGGGGTGTTTCATTAGCTAGATGGTCTGAATACAGTTTCATTGTGTAATTTGGTTACTGAATCCACTTCTGCTTAGGTGATGAATATAACACTACATCTCCATTCATTACCCTGGCCGTTTGAGGTGTCGCCCCGTTCGGATGGTATGGTTCTCGAGGAATTTGGATGGGTTGGAGAAATTCTGGACGAATTTGTGAGAGGAAAACACAGTTCCGGATGAAAAAAAGAAGCGGATCAAGCCGGGTTCAAGGGCACGCGAATGGGAATCAAAATCGTTCGCTACGATGGAGGGACATTAGAATATAAATTGTTGGTATGGCAACCAAAAAAAAAACAGAACCAATTCTTGGTTGTTTTGTGTTTTGATCATATATGTTGGCATTCAAATCCATCTTGTCCAGTTTGTTCGATGGAGCCATGACATTACATTAAGAGAGTGTAAATAAATGATCTGAATTCAGTATTGTCCTGCTATTTCATTACTGAATCCATTTGTAGTAATATAATCTGTATCAAATCTGACAGTTCCACACTTCCACTTATTACTTGTGGCCTTGTGGGATGACATGCAACATCATAACTTTGCATTTTCCTGGTTTTTCAGGCATTAATCACCACAAGCTACCTGTATGTCAAAACAGGTTTGCACTGTTCAATGAACTAGAATACCTGACACCGCAATTATGGAGTTAGGACCTTAATTAACCTGTAGAATATTCTACCGCATTGTTGTCCTCTGCTTACCAGGTCTGTATGTGGACTACCGAAGTGTTTGAAGGTACGGCCTTACTTCAGAGCTTATGGAGGCCCGCCAATTGCTGATGCTACATGCTAATTCTCACCTCATCTCTGTAACCCACCACCAAAAGAGGCAATACCGAGTAAGTGGCCCTTAGACTGTCTCCAGCAGGCTATGCATCACGCGACCCATATCAAAATGCCTAGTTCACATGAAAGAAACGGCCTCCAACAGAGTATGCAAAGGGAAGACCCAGTTGGCGTAAGAGGTGAGAGGGAACGCAAAAATGCGTATGTCTCTCTCTTCGACCCAAACCCGCCGGTCTCTGCCCCGAAGGGAGGGGAGAGGAGGGAAAGGGAAGAGGGAGAGAGGGGAAACAGGATGCCAGCGGCGGCGGCGCTTTAGTGCGGTGGAGGTAGGGCAAGAACAAGGTCCGCGTGCAGAGCGAGCGAGAGGGAGCAGGGCAGCGTGGCGTGACGGTGGAAGGGCTGAGCGGCCCGGGTGAGCAGCGGTGGTGGAGCAGGAAGCAGAGAAGAGGAGGAGGTAGAGGGAGAGCAAAGCAGACGCCGACGAGGGTGCTTGTCAGCTTCGCTGCTCCATCAGCAGAGAGGGGAGCGGCACTCGGCCTCGGGCGGAGCTATAGAGCAGTATGGCGGTGTGGAGCAGAAAGAGATGGGGGGGAGAGAGAGAGGAGAATGGAGGTGGAGCAGAGATGGACTTGAGTGAGAGCAGCAGGCGGCGGGCGCATGCATGCAGGACCCTTTGGGTTGGCTGTTGGAGAAGAGAAGATTTGGGTGCGTGACCTTTTATCTTGTGCTGGACTCAATGCATAGAATGAGTTTTATGTTTGGGTTTGTGCTGTTAGAGACAGCATTAGCAATCACTAATACTTTACGGTCATGGAACTCAACTCCCTGTTAAGAGCAACTCCAACAGTTTGGCAATTTTTGTTTGCCATTTGTTGTAGTTTGCCAACTCCCAAAACGATATGGCAAGGGGAAAAAAAAGGCCATCTCCAAGTGTTTGGTAAAATTGACTTGGCAAAACCCAAAATTGTGGACCCAACTATTTTTGCCGCAATTTTTTCCAGCGCCAGATCTGGTCCCAAGCGCTTTTGGTCGCTGCGTGCGTGTTTCTTCGTCATGCATTTTCTTCTTCGTCATTGCTAGGCCTTGATCTGCGACGGAGTCAGTCGTCGTCGCTTCCTCATGTCCGAGACGCTGCTGCCTCGGGAACCAACGAGGGCTTCCAGGTCGCCGTAGAGTCATTCCTGCAGCCGTGGACTGCAGGTCGTCATCGATCTCCAAGGTTCGTCCACTGCCGATCTCCCATTCTTGTATCATGTCAATTCGTCGTATGAACAGGATTGTTCACCTTGAGAGAGGCTAAAAGGAATTTATGCTTTCTTCTCTTTTGTATAAACAACTTGCGGGGCTAAATATGATATCAATAAATAGGATTGTTCTTGCGTATTATATCATATCAATAAGCTGCGTCTCCGATAATTTTTGTTATGTTGATGTTCTCAGCTGCACATATGTCATCATTTGCAGCGCATATACGTCGATCATGAGGGCTTTCAAATCACGTGCACGAAGACAATTGGATGACGTCTTGAGCACGACGATGATTCCTTCATCTTCACAGCTGCTCGACCAGCGCACGTTTTGAATAGAAAACGAAGACGTGGTGGTTCGGTCCCCGCCATGTTGTTATTCATCGGGATAGAGAAGGCGCCACCGGAGGATGTTTCAAGATTATTTGGCGGAAATCCGACGTATGGTCCAGATTTATTCCGTCGGAGGTAGTTGTTCTTTCACCTCAAATTGGTTCATAGTATTTGTTTAATTATTATACGAGTTGTTGAACTTTTGTTTATTTTCTTGATTCAGAATGAGTAGGAACCTTTTCCACGCATAATGAATCTTGTTGAAGCACACGACGATGATTATTTTGTGCAAAAAAGGAATGCCGCAGGTGTACTTGGATTGAGTTGCTTCCAAAAAGTCACTGCCGCTCTTCGTATGCTCACATATGGGGTTCCTGCTGATGCCACAGGTGAGTATATTCGCATTGGCGAAAGCACCGCACTTGAGAGCCTACATAGGTTCGTTGTTACAGTTGTAGAAATATTTGAAGAGGAATACCTCATGGGCTACATTAGTCAAGTCCATCTCTCTTCCTATGGGGAACAAGAGGAAATATTTTGCCAGAGCGCAAGAAGCAGCGAGAAAGGATGTCGAAAGAGCTTTTGGGGTTCTACATGCTAGGTTTGCCATTGTTCGAGAACCAGCTCGCATTTGGGACACAGAGACACCTGCATTGATCATGAGGGCTTGTGTGATTATGCACAATATGATTGTTGAAGATGAACGAGTTGTCGACCCTGATGAGCGGTTCGAAAATGGTGGTGAAAATGTGCAACCTTCTCATGGCAAGCCTACTCGCACACTAGCTGAATTTATTGAAGCGCATAAAAAGATCCGAGAGAAGGAAACACATTTCCAGCTGAAAGAAGACCTCATCGAGCACCTACGGAACCATCATCCTGATTTATATCCGATGGAACCAACATCTTGATTTATATTCTACATAGTATTTTCACTTAATTGTTAGTGTTTTCATTCAAGTGTACTGAACACTTTTCATTCGAGTGTGTAATTCTACATAGCATAAATGGGAATGTAAATGGTTGTCTGAATGACAATGAAATAAAAAGGTTCACTCAATCTAATATTTGACCGATTAAAAATCAAAGGTGGGTAAATAAAGTGGAAGACATGAACAAAATCTAATTTGCCATATGTCGTGCAAGTATGTTCTTCTTCATTATGTCAAGCCACTGCAGCTGCATCGGGTCGAGGGAGCTCGTGTCCGCTAACATTATTTCTTTCTCCTCCTTCAGCAAGTCCGCTTTAACTTTTTTTTCTTCATTTGACAATCGCTTCTTCTCAAGCTCAAGTGAAGCCTTCTGTACCTCAAGTGCAGCCTTGTCTACCTCAATTGCAGCCATGTACCTCTCCTTTCTCTGCTTGTCTCTTTCCCAGTCAGAAACCTCCTTCTTCTCCCACATCTTATCCAAAGCTACAATGCAAGCGTCGTCGCCTCCCCGCCTAGCTTCTTTTGCCTGCTTCTGACCCATTGGCCTCTTTCGTTCTTGAGAACCTAGGGCTGCAATCTCTTGTAGATCATCATTGTTGTTGGCTTCAACATTGCTCGGCGTTGACTCCTTATTAGTCTTCTATTTCTTCTTTGCGGCTTGTTTCTGCTGCTCAGCCAGCTCAATCATCTTTGACTTCCACTTGTCTTCATCCTTCAACCTTTTCCAACAGTGCATAAGAGTAAACGACTTCTTTTCCTCGTCTACTCCTGTGTACATCTCAGATGCTTCACTAATCTACACAAATAAAATCATTTAAATGTTAATATATTCACAGATGAACCAAATATTGAAAACAAATAAAAGAACCAACTACAGAAACAAACCATGTCTTGGATAGTTGCTCCACTTTGATTCCTACGCTCAATTGCCTCATAGCATGAACAGTACTTGTTGACGTCCTTCTGAATAGTGAGCCACCTATGCATAATGGAACTCTCTGTCTTGAGAGCTGGAGTTTCCTTATTTTTCTCAAAGAAATCATGAATTCTTCTCTAAAATGATAAACGAGTTTGATTGGCCCCATGAATAGGATCTTTGCTAACATTCAACCAAGCTGAGCATATAACTACATCTTCCTTTTGATCAAATTTTTTGGACCTATGTGACGCACCCTTTGCAGTACGACGGCGAACAACTTCAGATGCCTGCACTTCCACAACATCATGTTGAACTTCAAAAGGAAGATCATTATTAGTTTCCTGAGTGTCTTGAGTGACCGGAAAGGTCAATTCGTCCAAGCCAGGAACATGATGACCAGCTGATGTGAGTATGCCCGCATACAATCCAAGATCTTCCATATGACCGAATCTAAAAAAAAGAGAATGACAAATGTTGTGTCTCAAATTAAGACGAATAGAAGATCAAAGACAATATATATATTCACACTGACTAAAAAAAATACAGATCAAAGGACCATACGTAGACATCTGTTACAAACAATTTCGCTCAGCTACAAAAAAACTTTGTTCAATTCTACGACAAACGCTACTATTTGGGAACCGTAGCACATCAGCCCATCCCCTCCCCACAGAACCCTAGCTAGCAACGATGGAAATCGTATACAAACAATTGAATGAGTGGATCATGGAGTACCTCAACCCTTTGGGACGTTGATGAAGATGGAACCTCATGGGGTGTGATCAAGAAGAAGTCGAGATCGCCTTGCGTCCTTGAGTTTCGCGTGAAGGTCTTCGGGTTCCGCGTGAAGGGCTGGCGGCGTGAGATATTCCCTCGATCAGAGTCCTGGGGTTTCGCGGGAAACAAAGCCGGCGGCGCGGGAAGGGAAAGATTTCGCGCGAGGGGGGGAAATAGTGCGGGAGTAGCGCGCGCTATCGATTGCCAAGCGGACCGATCGCGCGCATATATGCGCAGAAACAACCGGTGTTTGCCAAGTTGATAAAAATGCCAAGCCTAATTGCCAAACTGTTGGATAGGAGAATTTGAGGTTTTTGGCAAAAAAACAAGAATGCCAAACCCAATTGCCAAACTGTTGGACTTGCTCTAAGCGATACCATGAACCTTGAGAATGTATGATGATTTATATGATCTTGATCTTGATGATTGGCTTTCTGAAAATGTGGCGGCATGAAATTTTGGAAACAACTTCAAGGGTAGGCATGAGAGATAGTCACTAGCTGTTGACCAGCAACCGAACCACACCCATGGATTTGCCAACAAGAAAGCAAATGGCACGGTGTGTGAACTACGAAACTGCAACTTGCACACCATCATTCCGATAAATATATTTCAGCACCCAGCTTTTATGTTCCTACTATTCTGATAGCAACAGTACAGTGCAAGCCTGTACAGTCATATATGATGTAGCAAAATTTTGAAATGAAAAATAATGCTGGAAAACATAGCAGCCAAATAAACAAAAGAAAATCTGGATCATTTGAATACTAATAGGCATATAATATAGTGCATAGTATCCATAGTGAACAAAATTGACCTAAGAACACTATAATAATTGCTCGTTTGCTCAACTCCAAGTTAAGTATTAATCTTCTAGATGAGCTCTAGCCAGTTTGGTCGCCATGAAGGAGATCCCCAATCATACATGGAGTGCAAAGGAATGACTCATATATACCATAGAAATGCTGATGATAGTGACGTTTTGGGCATGAGTTTCCCAGACATTGAATCATGGTGCTATTCAAGTGATAGGCAACAACTCCAAACGGTTCAACCATAAAGACAACTTCCTTGTAAGGATGGAATCCCATAATGTCCAGATCTTTGACATCGGAGTCTTCCTGCCTTTCAATGTCAACAGTAAATGTATCATCATTGCCAGAGTCCCACTCGTAACTCTCTTTTGATTGAGATTCAACATTGTGGTCCGTGTTGTGTGTATCATTATTTTCTTCAACAATCCAAGATCCACCTTGTTGTCTACCACTGTAATGATCATAAGGAATTGATGCTACATATCGAGCATAGTGCCCAACCTTAGCTTCACACTTCAGAAGCCACTCCATTTGACCACATGATTCATTCAGAATCCAAATCTTTAGTTGATGATCATGAACTATTCCAAAACTTACACTATTCTGCAACTTCCCCAAATATGGCTTTGTGTACTCAATGTTTGCTGGTGTTTCAATTATTTCATAGTTTCTGTTTGCCAATGAAAGCCTGTAACAAAAAAAAGAAAATTACCATGTTACTATCAATGTATATTTGTTTGATGTATTGACATTAAGTCCATCTTCACCTAAGTAGTAGCCAAAAGTAATTAAAATATTTAATTATAATAATGCACGCGAACATAAATATTCAGGTAATACCATATAGAGCACCTAAATGTGTATGGCAGTGAAGAAACATACTCCTATGGAAGAAAGTAAGATAGCATATTGTCTAATTACATATAACCAAAAAGGGGAATAACAAGTTTTTATTTTTGGAATTCTGAAAAGATATAGCAAAAAACGAGGACTAATTATAGCATATATATCTTCTACATTTCTCATTTAAACTTTTTTTAAGCTATACCAAATTTCGTAATCTGCCAACAATTATAAACTGGATTACTACTAATACACAAAGAAAGAATAAAAATATAAATACCACCTACAGAGGTCTAGATACATATACTATGTAAAAAATTTCTAAACTAGATTATTTGCATATACATAGTGATAAAAAAATCATTAATATTTTCACCGACAAACACAGCTATGCTTGGCAGTCATGTATGAGGTGAAAAAAACGAAAATCAATGCATACCTTGTTACAAAACAGCCTCGACAGTGCACATAGAGCGATCCATGATGGTAAAGGGCGTATTGCCAGCGTGTCCCATAAGGAGTCTCCGGATCCAATCGCATCTTGTCGACTGTCCCTGCTGGCATGCCTTCCCGGACAAAAGCCCTCTCCTCCCATTGACCAGTCCTTGATGAAAACACGCGTAGTGCCCATGGCGTTGGTGGCCATTCCACGGAGCGGCGCGCCTTTGCTGGCACGTGGGGAACCAGGATAACTTGGTAGTGCGGCGATGCAGCCGGATCGAATGCGATGTACGCACCGGCATAACGATGACGAAGACGTTTGCCATCCGCGCGCCGGCGGTGGGGAAGCACTGCACCGTCCACCAACGTGTCGTGGGGTTGCACACGCAGAGCTCCTCCTCCACCGAATGCCGCAGAGGAGGAGGCCGCTGCGATGGTCCAGACCGACCACCAGTCCTCGCTCGTCGTTTGAGAGGAGAAGTCGAGCATGCCGTCTACTTTGGGGATCGCCGACGACGACGAAGGTGGACGGCCGGACGGGCGAAGTGATGCGGCGGTCGTGGTCTATGTAGTTTATGAAGACTCCTCGCACGGAGCGCTGTAGACGCGACATGAAGCGGTAGCCATCGGGCGTGGACGATGTCGCGCCACGCCTTGCAAACGGACCGGACCACCGCGAGCTCTCAGAACGGCAAGGCACGGAAGACGCCGGCGAGGGCGTCGTCCGGCAATGCCGTGACTTCCGTTGCCATCTATCTAGTCTTCTTTATATTAGATTATTAGATGGGTTTCGTGCAGCGTGCGACGAGAGGCGACAGTGCGGCTCGCAGCAAAGTAGGTACTTATATTTACCGAGATAGTCTAGGTTTCCTATTTTCTTAGCCAAGGCCCGCTTCTTGAGTACGGATTCCTATTTCTTGAGTGGATGGACATGATATACATTTGAATGGATGCTCTATCGGTCCTACACATAATTGAACGCCCTAATTAAGATGGCAAAGTGAAACACACGACCGTCGCGCTCTTAGGCGATGGAGCGACCCTACTCTTCTCTCCCGGCCCTCTCCCTCTCCCACACGGCCGCGCCCGTGCATCGCCGTAGTTAGGGTTAGAGATCCTGATGGCTCTAGAAGTGAGTTAGGGGGAGGCGGCCATGACACAGCGGTATAGTTTTTCAAATGGGCCAGGCCCGATGGGCCGACACGGGCACGGCCCTAAAAAGCACGGCACTAGCCCGGCCCGGCTCGGCCCGCTAGGCATCGTGCCCGTGCCTGGCACGGCCCGCAACCGTGCCCATGCCCGGGCCACACATTCGGCCCATGGGCCAGCACGAGGTACGGCACGAAAAAAGGCCTGGCCCGGCATCGGCACGGCTTCGAGCCATCATGGCCGTTGGATCCCCTGATGTGGGGGATAGACCCCCGGGTACCACAAGATGGTACATGGGCCGCACCATCCGAGGTGGCCCGGCCCGTGAGATCAAGGCGTGTCCGGCGCTGCTTGGCGTGCACCGCAAGACATTGTAATAGTACCAAATAGGATACTTTACTTGTAACCTTGTCCCTTCGGAGTATATAAGGAGGGGCAAGGGTCCCCTAGAGGACAGACCGAAGGAGGTTAATCTGTATACATATCAATACAATACACCAAAGACACAGGACGTAGGGTATTACGTCGACCAGACGGCCCGAACCTGTCTAAATCGATGTCTCTGCGCCTTGTGTCACCATCTGGTTCCAGATCACA